ATGATGGATAATAGAGTGTAACCCACTTGTGTTTCTCCTCCAGTTTACTGATTACCTCCTTACATTGATCTACTGATGGACTAGTGAGTTGTACACGACCATGACTCCACACAACCTTTCCATCCTCTTGTACTAATAATAAACACACAACTAGTCAGTTAATGCAAGTATTCATATAATTCATTCACATAAAGATGTTCTGTTAAAATAATAAATTATTGCCAATGCACACACACACAGAAGGTGTGATTTGGCTACGCAAGACTAACACACACACACACACACACACACACACACACACACACACACACACACACACTGATGATGCAGTGGGTTATGTTTATACTATGTTTATACATACTGTTATTGTCTTCAAGTTTCAGTTTCAGTTGTTCTATTTCTTGTAGTCTAGTCTCTGAGTGTTCCTTTGATGATGCTAACTCTTTCTCAGTATCTGTAGAAATTAAATCAAGAATTTCATAACTTAAAAAAATCCATGCTCATAAGATAATACAGTAATGTAAGTAAGATTATCCTTGTGATAAACATCTCTTTAGTTATCATCTTTTTACAATAAATCATAATACCTTCTTCTAGGATTGAATAATTACTATTTATCAGTTTTTCTTTAAGCACTGAAACTTTCTTATTAAGTGAAGAGACATTCTCCTTCAGTTGGTTAATCACTTCCTCATTATGAGCTACAAATCAGACACTAACTATCATCACAGTAAAGCATGAATCATACCATTGATGTATCGACTCTCTTCAAGATCTTTTTGTAATGTTTCTATTTCTTTTAATCTGATTTCTGATTGCTCCTTGACTTTTGCTAACTCAGTTTCAGTAGCTATCATGTACATTAAAAATCAAGGATTAAGACATAGATATCACTTACCCATTATCCTTTCATCTCTATCCTTTAAAGCAGTTTTTAAGTCACTTACTTGTGCTAGCAATTCCATAACTTCTGTATTCTTCACCTGTAAAACAATAAGAAATGATTCAAGTTCAATAAACTAGTTAAATCTAACCTGAGTAGCATCCCATACAGTCAAGTTGCCCACTATAAATTCCTTTAGTCCTTTCCTTTGGAGCATATCTATCTTTTCAAGGACAATGCTTTTAAGCAACCCAGTGTATTCAGCAGGACAGTAGCAGGTCACTATAACTGATAGACCAGTGCCAACTTTATCAATCTGTATGCGGCACTTATCCAGTAGCTCTAACTCATCCAATACATCATTGATATCCTGCAGTGTATACTCATCAGGATCCCAGTTGAACACAAATACAACAGTTTCACATAAAAGGCGAGATGGAGTAGCAACTGCTTGTAGCTTCTCATCAAGGCAAAGACTCACTGATATTGACTTACAGAAATCCTTAGCTTCCTCTTTGTATAACTTAATGACTGGTTTAGCATCTTCTATGTTGAATTCAAAAACCAAAACTTCAAGGGGACGTAAGTTAATGATATTGCACTTCCTCTGCAGCACATTCAAAACGTCATTAATTGTCTTTTTATCAGAAAGCTGAGGCTTCAGATCAGGAAACATGTCACTAATAAGGTACATCACTTCATCAATATTAACGTTTTTCATTCTTGCAAAAATTCGTCGGACTTGAAAAAATGTAGAACCAAACCTCATTCTCATGTCCTCAAACTTTTTCTTCATATTACGAGGGAAGAGGATTTTATGATCACCATGCCTATCAATTTCTTTGTCATCAAACGATGAACCTGTTAAATTAAAAGCTATAGTAATAATTATGCCCATTACTTTATATTATACTTTCTGAACTTGTAGACATAAACTTTTCTCTAGGCTGCTTTGCCAAGTAAATATCTTTCTCTTTAACATCATCATCATAATAGCAAAAATGCTTTCCTACAAACAAAAATAATTAAATTAGCTTTAAGAATGAAGTATAACTTACTATATTCTTCAAAGATGGTATCACCAATACGAGCAGTCTCTGAGAACTTCCTCAATACAGTAACAAACAACTCGAGGTGTTTGTAATTGGAGTGAGCAGCATCTCGTACAG